TCCGGCAGGTCTTCGGGACGGAGGGTTTTGCCTTTCCAAGCCGCGCCATGCAGCAAAAGACGGTTGCAACGTCCAGGAGATGTGGAAAAGCTCCTTTTCATCCCTTCAGAGAGAGAAAGAAAGAAAGAGAGAGAGAGAGAGAGAGACACACACACACACAACACACACACACAGAGAGAGAGAGAGAGAGACAGAGAGAGGGGGGGTGTATTTCTAGACTGACAGGCTCTTTTTGTAATGTGTAGTTTGACCCCCTTATAACTGCACCCTTCCCATTTGAACGGGGACGTGGTGGCGCTGCGGGCTAAACCGCAGAAGCCTGTGCTGCAGGGTCAGAAGACCAAGCAGTCGTAAGATCGAATCCACGCGACGGAGTGAGTGCCCGTCGCTTGTCCCAGCTCCCGCCAACCTAGCGGTTCGAAAGCATGCAAATGCAAGTAGATAAATAGGCACCACCTCGGTGGGAAGGTAACAGCGTTCCGTGTCTAAGTCGCACTGGCCATGTGACCACGTTATTCATTTATTTATTTTATTTATATCCCGCCTATCTGGTCGGTTAAGACCACTCTAGGCGCCCTTCCCATTTGAATGCTGCGGCAACTGCTTCCTAATAAGGATGTGCTGGAATGGGGAGGATGCATTTGAGTTTGAAGTAGATACTGATTTATGTAGGGCAAATGTGTAAGTGTCCTAAGAGGAAAGACTGAAAGAACTGGGCATGTTTAGCTTTGAGAAAAAAAGACGGAGAGCAGATAGGATAGCACTTTTCAAATAGTTGAAAGGCTCTCATTCAGCCGTTCAGCTGAGGGGGAGGGTCTGTTCTCGATCATCAGGACAGGCGTCCATGGGCTCAAACCATAGGCAGCCAGATTTACACTGAATATCACGGAAAACACATTAACTGTTAGAGCAGTAGGATAATGGAACCCATAACCTCGGGAGGTGGTGAACGCTCCACCACTGGAGGAAATACAGAGAAATTTGGACAACCATCTGTCCTATTGTTTTGATTTGGATTCCTGCATGGAAGGCCTTGTTGTTGTTGTTGTTGTTGTTGTTGTTGTTTAGTCATTAAGTCGTGTCCGACTCTTCGTGACCCCATGGACCAGAGCATGCCGGGGCCTCCTGTCTTCCACCGCCTCCCGGAGTTGGGTCAAATCCATGTTGGTTGCTTCGATGACCCTGTCCAACCATCTCATCCTCTGCCGTCCCCTTCTCCTCTTGCCTTCACACTTTCCCAACATCAGGGTCTTTTCCAGGGAGTCTTCTCTTCTCATGAGATGGCCAAAGGATTGGAGCCTCAGCTTCAGGATCTGTCCTTCCAGTGAGCAGTCAGGGTTGATTTCCTTTAGAATTGATTGGTTTGTTCTTTTTGCTGTCCAGGAGACTATGTAGAGTCTCCTCCAGCACCACAATTCAAAAGCACCAATTCTTCGGCAGTCAGTCTTCCAACTTCATTATTCTATGATTTATTGAAAAGTTGCAACTTGCTGAAGGACATCAGCAGATGAATGTAGCGTACTGAGGTGGGGTTGCTCATGTAAGACCTTGCAAATTAGCAGCCTTGAAACGAGACAAGATATAGATTAGGAGCTAGTGGATATAGATTCACCATGAGGCAGAGAGAGTCGTCCGCCTCAGGTGGCAGATACTTTGAAGCAACGATGGCCACCACTCCTCCCCTACAGTTCCATCTGTGCTTCCTGGTCTTGTGGTTTTGGGGAGCAGCAGCCTTCTTCTGTCCCACAAGGTTCATCCTGAAAGGCCCAAACCACCCTCCTGCCCACATACAGTGGTCCTCACATTGGTAATCTCAGAAATAGACTTCTGTAATGCTCTCTACGCAGGGCTGCCCTTGAAAACAGTACAAAAACTTCAGCAGGTCCAAAACGCAACAGTTAGACTGGTTATCATTACTAGTAAATTTGATCTGTATCTCCAGTCTCGGTGCTCCTTCATTGGCTTCCTCTTAGGTAAAGGTAAAGGTTCCCCTTGACAATTTTTGTCCAGTCGTGTTCGACTCTAGGAGGCGGTGCTCATCCCCATTTCGAAGCCATAGAGCCAGCGTTTTGTCCAAAGACAATCTTCCATGGTCACATAGCCAGTGCGACTTAGACATGGAACGCTGTTACCTTCCCACCGAGGTGGTCCCTATTTATCTACTTGCATTTTGCATGCTTTCGAAACGCTAGGTTGGCGGGAGCTGGGACAAGCGATGGGCACTCACTCCGTCGCGTGGATTCGATCTTACGACTGCTGGTCTTCTGACCCTGCAGCACACAAAGGCTTCTGCGGTTTAGCCCACAGCGCCACCACGTCCCTGGCTTCCTCTTAGTTTCTATGTTTTATGTCCCATAAAGCCCTTAATAGTTTCAGATCTCAATACTTGTCATAATGTCTTCCCCAGAAATTGGCTTTCTGTTCTACCCACTCCTCTCAATTCATGTTGTTAAAAGTTGGTACATCAAGGGAAGCCAAAAAAGGCCAATCCAACGAATCGTGCCTTCCCTAGTCTCTAGAATAAAATGCTGACATAAATGGACCAGAAATAGGCTGTTTCTCTCCTTACATTTAGGAAGATGGTAAACACATAATTATTTAAAGCTACCTTTAAGAACTGAATCTCTGGGATGTGGTCTATAATAACTGTTCTAAAATTAATTCTAGATTATTATAGGGTGATTCGTTTTATGGTTATAATTGTCTGTGGTATTGCTGTATTGTTTTTAATTTGTTGCTGTGGGGTACTGTACGTTTAGTGTAGTGCTTGCACTAATGAGATGGTGCACACATCGAATAAATAAAGAAAAATAAATAATGGCACCATATCGTGATAGACATGACTCTATTGCCAGTGCTGGTGTTAAGATACTGCTACAGTGGACCCTCGACTTACAGACGGCTTGACTTACAGACTTTTTGAGTTACAGACTTCTCTGGCTGCAAAATTTAGATTCGACTTGCAGCCAGAGAATCGACTTACAGACCAGAAAAAAACCAAAATGGAATAAAAATAGAATAAAAACCACTGGTTATGGGATTAATCGGTTTTCAGTGCATTGTAGGTCAATGGAGATTCGACTTACAGGCTTTTCGACTTGCAGCCACCATTCCAATACGGATTAATTTCTTAAGTAGAGGGTCCACTGTACTAAACAAGCTGGCTTCACGTCCGGGGCTGTGGCATCATTTTGTTCTTTACCTCAGTCAGCAGAACGTCCTGGGCTGAATCTACGAATGGGATGTGTTCCCAGCAATTGGTCCCATTGTCTACTGAATTGTTCCTTGCAGGAACAATACAGTCAGAAATCATTTGAACTGAATTTCAGGGCTATCAACTGTGCCAAGGTGTCTGTGTGGATTACATTTCTTTCCTCCTTGAATCACAAAGTCCTTCGACTTGCAGCCACCATTCCAATACGGATTAATTTCTTAAGTAGAGGGTCCACTGTACTAAACAAGCTGGCTTCACGTCCGGGGCTGTGGCATCATTTTGTTCTTTACCTCAGTCAGCAGAACGTCCTGGGCTGAATCTACGAATGGAATGTGTTCCCAGCAATTGGTCCCATTGTCTACTGAACTGTTCCTTGCAGGAACAATACAGTCAAAAATCATTTGAACTGAATCTCAGGGCTATCAACTGTGCCAAGGTGTCTGTGTGGATTACATTTCTTTCCTCCTTGAATCACAAAGTCCCTACACCTCAGAGAGGAAGGTAAAGGGCTTCTGGATGAGGGCCATTGATGAATGGGTTGATTTATAATATTTTTACTCTGCCTTTCTTCTTTAAAAAAGGGAATCGAGGCAGCTCACATCACTAAAAAACATTTAAAGCCGAAAACAGTTCTGTATACAAATACAGTGGTGCCCCGCATAGCGAGGTTAATCCGTTCCGGATTAACCTTCGCAATGGGGAAACATCGCTATACGGAACGGGGAAACCCA